ATCGCCCGGACTAATGCAACGATACACGAGTGAAAATTCGATTCTGATTTAGTGAAAGACCACGAATGCATCCTTCTCGAGAGAAACTCCTATTCTCAGAGGCAATAACTCGATCCACGATTTCCCAGACACGTATGGACATCCCCGACAAAGGTCACCTTCCCATAGCGAATGATTGTGGCAAGGCCACCGAGTAGATCATCAGAGTGACCGACAGCATGACAGACAAGAACACCCCCTGTAGTAGGCCAAACACCAGAGTACCTACGGACAACAGCAAATAAAGAGATGCACCAGTTGCTGGTCTATAGTGATGACTACTACCCATAAATGCCATCACCCATACAGCAGTATCCTTCTTGCTATGGTGTACAAGCCATTTCGCATGGTTGAAATCCATAAGGTGCGTAGCAGCAGTTATAATAATACCCGCTAATGCACAACGTGGTATCCAATACCTGACGACTATCAATCAGCAATACCAACTTTTCCAGGTATACCCGAAGAATGAGAGAGAATTAGTGCTGGTATTCATCACGAAAACGTCTAGTCACCAACAATGACTCTCCAAAAGGATAACAGGTATGCAAGTACCCATCCCAAGGGGAGCTCACATGAGGGGAGTGAGCATTGCCAACACTCCTATTGCCACTACTGCTGCTACTAGGCCAGCTACCTGACGAAGGCTCCCCTACTACTAGTCCTACTACTAGTACCTGTGATTTAACCCCACTAGCATACCCCAAAGACGTCCTGGACATCCCACCTTGGACCGGCATCGCACCAAACAACGAACCTAACGTTGCGCACAGCCGAGGATTCTCAGTCGAACTCCGAGTCGCCAATACTACCAACTATATTGGCTGCTCCCAAGGCCGTCAACTCGCTTCCTGCATTAATATCATACCTTATTCGATTCATGCCAAAAAACCTCATCCTATGCTGACCTACCGATCAACAATAGCAAATTTTTTAGCAGGCGCATAACTCGAATTGAAGCACATAAGAGAAACCATGAACCTGTTGAGGAATTGCAAGATTGAGCAAGATTTCAAGAACTCACCCGTTGGGGATAACATCAGTTATTCCTTCAAGCGACGGTATAGCAAACGATGGCAGACCAGTGGGGACTTCCCCAACCTGCAAGTCACCAAATGTGCGCAGATTACGGTACCCCAAAAATAAATCCCTTATATTACATGTGGTATGAAGTCCTCCTTCTCCTCAGCATATACGGAAGATATGAACCAACATGCTAGGGTCGCAATTATGACTACCATAAATCTACGAAATTTGTTCCGAATTTGCCACTACCTGCAATGAGCTCCTTAAATTGAGATACACGCCTGAGGTATGGTACTTCTTTCAAATGCTTTGCTCCTTGTATTATCACCACTACCAAAAGACCAAGTAGGAGTACCGGGAAGGAGGTCTGAGATTGATGACACCTTCCCATATGATACAATGTGAATTATTAATCTATAACTGGA